CAGCTGGTTTCCTCAGGCGGCCTGGCTGGCGGACTTTCCCATGGGGATCTCCGAGCATCAGCAGCTGTGGAGCCAGGAAGGTGGGAGGGGGCCCTTCTGAGCAGAGTCTGCCCCGAGGCCCAAAGGTGTCAGCTCAGCTGTCTCGCCTAATCACCTAGATTATGAAATGCCGTGGGGCAAGGCCCACCTGAGTCACACACACACTCACTCACCGCCAGAGTGGAGGCTCTTATCTCTCCTCCAGTGTGGAAGCCAGCTTGGGAGACGAAGGGGGACCCGTGCAGCTGGGCACGGGGCTGGGGCTGGGACCCAACTTCCTGAGTCCCAGCATGCACTATGGCGACCACAGGTGTCTCCCTCCTCCCTGGACTCAGCCACAGGAAGAGGGACAAAGAGCCCAGCTCAGGTGGCAAAGTCAAGGAGAGCACTTCTGGAGGAGCTGAAGGGCAGAGTTTGACCACAGACTGTGTTTCCCCCCAGCCTCTGCAGAAGGGCCCCTGGTATGCCCCTGGCAGTGACCGAAATTCTGGTGGCTGAGGTCAGTCTCCGTGGCCCCTGCTAGGACTTCCCCCTCTTCCTCCCTGGTGGTGTCCTTCCGCAGGGGCTGGGGGAAGCCATCTAAGGATGGTAGGATCTTGGTCAAGACGTTGTACTTCTGCCTCAGCGTTTCTCATGTGTGAAGTGAAGCGGGGGGCGGGGGGGGGCGGATGGGGGCACCCAGCTCTCCTTACTGGAGTTCTGTGACCTGACCCAGTGGGGCTGGGAAGGATGGATGGGAGGAGAGAGGAAGAGGCCTCAGGGGTATCTGCTGGGGCATCGTAGGGCCTGGAGGTGGGGCCAGCATGGGGAAGGAGAGAATGTTGCTGTCTCTGAGGAGAGGAAGATAGGAAGGGGCCGTCTGAGTTTGTGGCCCCCCCCCAACAGAGAGGGAACCTTATGTAAATGAATGCACACCATATGCAAATGAAGGCTTTTGTTGGGGAGTTGGGAGGGGGGCTTTGTGCCTGGGGCTGGGCCGGCCTAGAAGATTGGTGGGGGTGGGGGTGGGGGGGGGGGGGGGGGGGGGGGGGGGGGGGGGGGGGGGGGGGGGGGGGGGGGGGTGAGGGAGTGATCTTCTGCCCCTAGAGGCCAGGGCAGAGGCTGGTTCTTGCCCCATAAGCCTCAGCGGCTTCGGCAGCCCTGCGGGGTGGGAGAAGCAGTGAGCTCATGGCACAGCTGGACGGGGGAGGGCATTGTGTGGTGAGAACTGACTGGGTCTGTGCCCTGTCCTGCTGGGGCCACTGGCTCCATTGTCTGGAGTCCCCTGGTCCAGGTGACACAGCTGAGCCAACCAGCCCTGCTAAGCAAGATTTTGCCAGCTGCCCTCCAACAAAGGAGAGGGATGCGTGGACTCAGAATCCCTTTGCTAGAAGGCACAGAAGCACATGGACTTCTGTCTGTTGGTGCCTTACTTCTGGAACATGGGGTGTTTCTGGGTTCTGAGGCAAACCCGGGTCTGCGACCAGCTCAGATCCAGGTGTCTTACCTCCCGGCATCCTTTCCTGGGTCCCGGCTGGGTCCCAACCTCCCCCAGGTTTCCTGTCCTTTATTGGGCAGGGGTCAGGAGCGGTGCTGGTCGTGAGGGATGCCGTGGGGCCCCAGGCGTCTCCAGCATCCCCCGTCCTTCCCTACAGGAGCCGAGTGCTTTGCCCGGGAGGTGCTGGTCCCCCAGGGTCCCCTGTACCGCGTGGCTGGCACGGCCGTCTCCATCCCCTGCAACGTCAGTGGCTACGAGGGCTCTGCCCAGCAGGACTTCGAGTGGTTCCTCTACAGGCCTGAGGCCCCAGAGGCTGCGCTGGGCATTATCAGCACCAGGGACGCCCGGTTCTCCTATGCCGTCTTCGGGCCCCGCGTGGCGGCTGGCGAGGTGCAGGTGCAGCGGCTGCAGGGGGATGTCGTGGTGCTCAGGATTGCCCGCCTGCAGGCCCAGGATGCTGGCGTTTACGAGTGCTACACACCGTCCACCGACGCCCGCTACCTGGGCAGCTACAGCGGCAAGGTGGAGCTGAGAGGTAGCGGGCCTGTCTAACCAGCCCTCGGGTTTTGAAGCTGGGGAAACTGAGGCCCAAAGGGGTTATGTGACTCGCACAACATCCCAATATGTTAGTGGCCAGTCTGCGCTTCCTAGTCTATGGATCTACCTCGTAGAATGGAGCAAGTCCCCTCCATCCCCTGATGCGGGGAGCCTGCTAGGGTGAATAGAAGCCATTCCTGGAGATTCCAGGATCCAGATCTGGGGGCGGCGGGGGAGGAAGTGGAGGTAGGGTAGGAGGAGTGAGGCCACGTGACACATTCTTGCTCTCTTATGTTTCTTTGTCTTCTGAGAAGGAGGACAGAGCCACTTTTCTGTAGTTCAAACAGGGGTCGGCTCCAAACATACGGGTGAGTGGGCGCTGGGCTGGGTTATGAACTCCGAGAAGGATTTATTGAGTGCCCGTTGGGTGCCCAGCACCGCTGGGTTACGGGAGAAATAACCCAGCTGAAGCCTGCCCTGTAGGGAAGCAGGTGGTACACAGGGAACAGTAACGAGGGCCACCGGCTCCCAGCCCTCCCCCACTCCCGCTGTTCTCTCCAGTTCTTCCAGATGCGCTGCAGGTGTCTGCCAGCCCCCCAGGGCCTCGGGGCCGCCAGGCTCCCACTTCACCGCCCCGCCTGACGGTGCACGAGGGGCAGGAGCTGGCGCTGGGCTGCCTGGCGCAGACAAGCACGCAGAAGCACACGCACCTGGCCGTGTCCTTTGGGAGGGCGGTGCCCGAGGCGCCCGTAGGGCGAGCGACGCTGCAGGAAGTGGTGGCTCTCCGGCCCGACTTGGCCGTGGAGGCCGGGGCTCCCTATGCCGAGCGGCTGGCAGCAGGGGAGGTGCGGCTGGGCAAGGAGGGGGCTGAGCGCTACCGCATGGTGGTGGGGGGCGCCCAGGCCGAGGATGCGGGCACCTACCACTGCACAGCTGCCGAGTGGATTCAGGATCCTGATGGCAGCTGGGCCCAGATCGCCGAGAAGAGAGCCGTCTTGGCCCATGTGGACGTGCAGACGCTGTGTGAGTGCCACATTCCCACGGTGGGGGCTGGGAGCCGTGGCATCTCGGTGGCCACGTGGCCGAAGGGTCACTGCCTGACTCCAGGGAGCTCGTCTTCCCCAGTGAGGTGTCGTGTTAGCATCGCTTCCCTCCCGTGATGGGTCTTCTCTGCTCCGAAGTTGGGTGTGGAGATAGGGCCACGGCTGAGGGCTGAGAGCCAGGCCCTGGGAGGGGCGCCATGGTCCTGTCCTGTGACAGGGCTGCTGTCAAGGAGGGAGGTACTGGTGGCCAGTCAGGAGGCCTGTGGCCCCTGCTGCCTCCGTGATGCCCTGTCCCCCTCCTGTGTTGCAGCCAGCCAACTGGCCGTGGCCGTGGGGCCTGGGGAACGTCGGATCGGCCCCGGAGAGCCCTTGGAACTGCTGTGCAATGTGTCAGGCGCGCTGCCCCCACCAGGCCGCCACGCCGCATACTCCGTGGGCTGGGAGATGGCCCCTGCAGGGGCCCCTGGGCCCGGCCGCCTGGTAGCCCAGCTGGACACAGAGGGCGTGGGCAGCCTGGGCCCTGGCTATGAAGGCCGGCACATCGCCATGGAGAAGGTGGCGTCCAGGACCTATCGGCTCCGGCTGGAGGCCGCCAGGCCGGGTGACGCGGGTACCTACCGCTGTCTAGCCAAGGCCTATGTCCGAGGGTCTGGGGCTCGGCTTCGAGAAGCAGCCAGTGCTCGCTCCCGGCCACTGCCGGTGCACGTGCGGGAGGAAGGTGAGGGGATGGCTGGGGCCTTGCCAGGGTCTGGGGCCTGTGGAACCTCTTCCTTCTATTTCTGTGCGTCCCCCCGCCCCACCCCTGCACCGGCTGCCGCCATGCCTCGGTTTCCCACTTCTCTTCTTCAGGATTGTGGGAGCACCTTGAGCTTCCTGGGGTGTTGCTCTGACAGTGGTCCTGACCCCCTACCCCTCTGACCCCGCATCCTCGTCCTGCAGGCGTGGTGCTGGAGGCTGTGGCGTGGCTGGCGGGAGGCACCGTGTACCGCGGGGAGACAGCCTCCCTGCTCTGCAACATCTCTGTGCGGGGTGGCCCGCCGGGGCTGCGGCTGGCTGCCAGCTGGTGGGTGGAGCGGCCCAAAGAAGGGGAGCTGAGCTCCGGCCCTGCCCAGCTGGTGGGCGGCGTGGGCCAGGATGGGGTGGCAGAGCTGGGCGTCCGGCCTGGAGGAGGCCCCATCAGTGTGGAGCTGGTGGGGCCCCGCAGCCACCGGCTGAGGCTGCACGGCCTGGGCCCCGAGGACGAAGGCGTGTACCACTGCGCCCCCAGCGCCTGGGTGCAGCATGCCGACCGCAGCTGGTACCAGGCCGGCAGCGCCCGTTCAGGGCCCGTCACGGTGTACCCCTACACGCACGGTGAGTGACCCCTGCCCACCCCCCACCTCAGCCCCGGCCCTGTTCTGCCCTTCCCATGTGCTTCTCATGCTCCCGTCCCTCCTTCTCCTGCATGAAAACCCACGTTCAGCCCCTTCTGAAACTGGGGTGCCCTAGTACCCCCACTGAACCTGGTCTGGGAGGAGAGGGCAGGGGGCACCGTCTGCGAAAGGAGGAAGGGGGCCCACAACACCACAGCGGAGGCGCTGGGACGCAGGTGGGGCAGGGTAGCGGCTCCCCAGGCTGAACAGAGCCCTCTACTCTCTCCCAGCCCTGAACACCCTGTTTGTGCCCCTGCTGGTGGGCGCTGCGGTCGCCCTCGTCACTGGCGCCACCGTGCTTGGGACCATCACCTGCTGCTTCATGAAGAGGCTGCGAAAACGGTGACCTCTTGCTCCCCAGGTGAGGGAAAAGAACCCCACCGACCTTTGTGTCTGTCCTCTGGCCTCTCCCCTGCATGCTGGGGTGAGCTGCCCCGCCCCAGCCCCGCCAGCGGGCACCGGGTCTCCGTCCTTAGGTCTCCGTCCTTAGCGCACCCTGCGCTCTCTCCAGTGCTTGCAGGTGTGGACTGTCTTCCAGCCCGGCTCCAAGACCACCTCAGGCTGCCCTCGTCCTCTGTCCCCCTTCCTTTAATTTATTTGACCTCCTCCCCCCCAGAGTGGGGGCCATGGCCCCCCAGGCCCCACTCCTCCCTTCCCGTTTCCTCCCTCTGGCCTTCTGTTGTTGATCTCATGCCCCCAGCCCACAGGGAGGCCATTCCCTGTCCTAGAATTAGTTTTTCTAAAATGTGAATAAACTTGTTTTATAAAACCCAGCGTGTCTTCCTGCCCTGGGGCCGAGGGGCGTGGCCAGGCAGTCTGCTGGGGTGGGGGGGGTGATGGCCTGTTCTGGACCACTCAGGCCTTCCTTCCCACCACAAACACCATCTGGCCTTTGCGGGCCGCGCCACCCACCCCAGGAGGGGACACCTGGGTCCCATCTGCTGCCTGAGCTGTCAGTGCCCTGCCAGTCCCTGTTGGGACTCCCTCCTCGGGGAGGGGAGCACAGAGAGGGGGTGAAGTCACCGAGCCCAGCCCCCTCTCCCAGCCTCCTCCCAATGTTGCAGGGCCCGGGCTTCTGGGTGAGCCGTCTTCTGAGCTCCCCACACCACTGCCTTCACTTTCTAGGCCCTCTGGGTCTCGGACCTGACTCCTCCCTGGCCCTGGGGCCTCAGCCCTTCCCCTCCTCACCACAACAGAGCAGATGCACCAGAGCACAGCCCCCTGGGTAGGGAGGACGGCAGTCAGGGGAGGGTCTGTGTCCACAGAGCCCTCACGTGCATGCCCCCCCACAGCCTGCCTGCACCCCCAGGTCTTGGCCCAGCTCCCTTCCAGTGCCCCAAGGGCCCCCCACATTGCGTCAAGATTCTCTGATCTGAAAATTCTTAGCTGCTCCTTCAGGGGCACCCAGTTTACCTCTTGTAATGCAGTTGTTTCAACATTTATTGAGCAATACTGGTTTTCTGAGTGTTATTTTTACAGAAGGGGAAACTGAGGCCCAGAGGAGGGGTATAACTTGCCCAGAGTCACAGGGCGAATTAGTGACAGTGTCAGGAGTACAAACCAGGTCTCCTAACTCCCTGCGCTGTACACCGTGGTGCCCCGAGCCGTCACCAAGCCCACCCCTCCTGCCCAGACTCACCTGTTGCTCTGAATTAAACCCAATGATCCCACCCCATACCCCCACATTTGTTCTTGAGGGAACAGCCAATGCCAGGGCTCAGGGACCTTGTCTTTGACCGGTGGTGGCCCCGGTGGCCCTGTGTTGGGAGGCAGACATTTCTCTGAGTGGACCCCCTTCCCGGCTTCCGGGAGGCACAGGGACCCATGGGATCTTGGCTTCCCAGCCTGGAATAGAACAGACTGGGGTGCTTTTGCCCGAGGGGTTCAGTCTTTTATTAAAGGACAGGAGCAGGGTGTGGCCAGGACCAAGGGGTAGAGGTCACCGCCGGACCGGTGTTGTGGGAGCACACGCTTGCCTGGACAAACACCCCTCTCCCAGGGGGCCAGCCTCAGGCCCCCACCTCCACCCTGCCCCAGGCTGCCCCTGCTCTCCCCTCAGCATCCTGCAGGGCTGCCCCTGGAGACTCGGCGGACACCAGGCAGGGGGTGGAGGTGGGATGCGAACGGTGTTTCGGGGACGGCTGGCCCAGCTGGGTGGACAACGGGCCACAGACACACCCGATGTTTGACCTCCTTGCTTCTCCCTTGAACCGTCACCCAGGTTCAACCCTGCCTCTCAGTTACTCCTACGGGGATTCAGTCTGGGGCCACTGATGCCCTTCCCGCCCCAGCCACCCCCCCCCACCCAGGAACCCCCTCCAGGACCCCTGATGGCTTCGTCTTCCCCACACAGCATGTCCAGCTCAGCACTGCGGCTTTCCCACTGAGGGGGGCGGCTTCCCGGGCCCACAGTTAAACTTGTCGGCCTGGGTTTCAGGGTCCCTTTTCCCAGTCATGATAGCCCACCCTTTATATTCAGTCTCCTGCTACGATCCTCAGTTTTTCTTCAGCTACTCCTCAGCTTCTCCTCAGCATTCCTTAGCTCCCCTTAGCCCCTCTGCTCAGCTTCTCCGCAGCTCAGCTTCTCCTCAGCTCAGCTACTCCTCAGCTTCTCCTCAGCATTCCTTAGCTCCCCTTAGCCCCTCTGCTCAGCTTCTCCGCAGCTCAGCTACTCCTCAGCTTCTCCTCAGCATTCCTTAGCTACCCTCAGCTACTCCTCAGCTCAGCTACTCCTCAGCTTCTCCGCAGCTCAGCTTCTCCACAGCTCAGCTACTCCTCAGCTTCTCAGCATTCCTTAGCTACCCTCAGCTACTCCTCAGCTCAGCTACTCCTCAGCTTCTCCGCAGCTCAGCTTCTCCACAGCTCAGCTACTCCTCAGCTTCTCCGCAGCTCAGCTTCTCCACAGCTCAGCTACTCCTCAGCTTCTCCTCAGCATTCCTTAACTACCCTCAGCTTCTCCTCAGCTCAGCTACTCCTCAGCTTCTCCTCAGCATTCCTTAACTACCCTCAGCTTCTTCTCAGCTTTCCTCAGCTTCTCCTCAGTATTCCTTAGCTACCCTCAGCTTCTCCTCAGCTCAGCTACTCCTCAGCTACCCTTCAGTTTCTCTTCAGCTATTCCTTAGCTACTCTCAGCTTCTCCTCAGCTTCCCCTCAGGTTTTCCTCAGTTTCTCCTCAGCTCCCCCTCAGCTACTAAGTTCCCCTCAACTCCCCCTCAGCTGCCTCTCAACTACCCTTCAGCTCCTCCTCAGCTCAAATGCCGTACCTCCTGACATGACTTCCAAGTCTGTGTAGAGCAGTGGTTCTCAAAGTGTGGCCTCCGTTCCAGCAGCATCAGCATGACTTGGGAACTTGCTAGAAATGCAAGTTTTTGATCTCTACCCCACACCTACTGAGTCAGAAACTCTGGGAGCGGGGCCCAGCTGTCTGCATTTTCACAATCCCTACAGGTAACTCTGATGCACACACCAGTTTGATAACTGCCGGCTCACTCATTCTCTTTCTCTGTGCCTCACGTGGCCCCTAGCTTTCTGGTCACCAAACCCTCCTGCCCTCTGCTCCGAGAGACGGTCGGGTTCAGTTTGAGCCACACCTCGTGCAGTTGTCTGAGGGGCGCTGTGTTCTGAGAAGGAACCAGGTCTCTGACCGGCCAGTGCTCTGTACTCAACGTGCCCCCAACGGACCCTGCGAGTGACTCCCGGTCACTGTGCCCACAGGCCCCTGTACCTTAGCTCTCGTGAACTCCCTTTCTGGATCTCTCCCCCGGCCCTTCTTCCTCAGAATGTCCCTCTCCCTTTCCTGCCGCTGCAGTGCTATTTATGAGATCTCGTCCCGCTGTCAGAAAATAGCCGTCCCTGCTTCTCCTTCCCTAGGCCCCGTCTCCCTGCTCGTGGGCAAGGTCATTCACGCCGGGCTGAGCCAGCCCTGCAGTCTTCTGCCCTCCTGCTCCGGTCACGGTGGTGGCGGTGGAGCGGGGCGGGCGCCATCATCTCGGCCCACCTCCGTCTGTCCGTCCGGCTCTCTCTCCTCGGGGTCAGCTCGGGCCACTGTGTCCAGTGAGACAGGTGTGCGGCAGCACAGGGAGGCTGGCCGAGGAGGTGAGTGGGGACTGAAACCCAGCCCACGCTCTGTTCCCCAAGCCGTGCCCCTCTGGTTGGGGACGCCATCAGTCCGGAGGGAAAGGGTGCCGTTTTAGAATTTGCAAAGATGCTCTGTGGGTTAGCGGCGGCCCTCAGCGCACCGCCTGTCTGTCCATTCGCCTATCCACCAGCGTCTGTCTGTCTGCTACCACCTCCCCATCCAGCCTGCCTACATCCATCCTTCTGTTCATCCACCCGCCCATGAACAGATGTGAGGGTCAAACACAGATAGGCTGGCATGCTTGCCCATCCCCACCCTCCGTCCTCCTGAAACCGGGCCCCCTCCCGTCCACTGGATTCTAGGGGAATCTCTGGCCTTAGCGCCTCCCTGGGGGGCTCGCCTGCCTCCTTCTCCGCCTCTGACGTCCAGCTCCCAGGCACTGGTGTCCGGCCCTGCCACAGGGGTCTGGAGGGAACTGGTCACACCTTGGACTCACTCTCTGGGGGCGGCAGGCAGCCATTCTGCTCCTTGTCCGCGCCGGCCTCTCCGCCCGCCCCCTCCCCGGCCCCCTCCTCCTCCACCTTCTCATCCAGCCGGCTGGGGATGGACCAGTAAAGATGGGCGTCAAGGCGGGCAGCAGCTTCGGCCAGCTCCCGGGCGCTGCACGAGGGGGTGGGCACCTCAAAGGTCTGGTGGAAGGTGGCATAGTCCACCTCATAGAAGCCGTCCTCTAGCGTGAGCACTGACGTGAAGCGGTGGCCCCAGAGCACCTCGTCCACCAGGTAGGAGCTCCGAGCTTGGCATGTCATTCCTGCGGGGAGGGGGACATGGGTCGGGGCGCGGGGTGGGGAATCCCAGCCCCAGGCTTCCCTTTCCCGCCTCTCTTTCCACAACCCTATTCCACACTCTTCCCTCTGCCCCTCCCCAGACCCCCCCAACCCCTCTTTGGTCCAGCCCATCTTCTCCCCCTTCTCAGCTCCTGTACCTGCCCAGCCCCCCACCTTCTTCATTCACCCTCACTCTCTTGACCCCCCAGCCCACGCTCTCCCCGCCTCTCTGTGGGAGATGCCAATCGGAGAAGCTTAACCTTGAAACTGACCTCAGGAACCATCTAGGCCAACTTCCCTCTGCATATAGGCCTTCCCCCAGGAGCCTTCCCAATAACAGGCATCAAGCTTCTACTTCTCACTACCCAGGACAGAGAGCTCATCACCTCACAAGCGTGATGCCGTGAACACGTTGTTCCTAATAAGAGCTAAACTCTGCTTCCGGGACCTCCACCCCTTGCTAGCCTGGCCCTGCCACTTCACACCCCTTCAAGTATCTGAAAACAGGAGCCTCGGGGCCCATCGTGTCTTTTCCTCAGGCTGCACATCCCTGGCTCCCTCCACCACTCCTCATGTGACCCGGCCACCCAAATTTTACTTTCTTGATCACAAACCTGAATGGCCAAGCGGCCCCCTTTTGGCACTTTGAGCGTGACATGTCCGGCAGCGGCCTGAGCCCTGCATGGGAGAGGGCTCACCACCTCTCTCTCCTGGCCACGATGCTTTAGCTAACGGGGCCCAAGACTACGTTACATAAGCATTTTTGGAAGCTGTATCACACTGCTGCGACATTAAGCCTGTGGCCAACTGAAACCCCCACTTCTTTTTTTCGCCCGAGCTCTTCAATGCGGTGCTTACATAAGTGATTTTTTTAAAGCCTAAATGTAGAATTTTATATTTATTCCTTTTAAATGTCATCTTGTCGGGCTTTGGCTCATTACACTTGGCTTCTCAAAAGCGTTTTGAATCCTGACTCTCTCACCCAAAATATTAGCATCCTCTCCAGCTCTGTCTCTCTCAAAAAGCCGGACGAACTCCCCTCCTGGTCTCCTCCACGCCACCCTCCCCAGTCCTGCTCGCCCTCGGGCTGTGTCCTGTCATCCCTGGCGGGCTGGCCACCCACTGGAGCAAGCGACCGTCCTCCAGGGTCTCTCCCACCTCAGAACAAGGGGGAACGGAAGACGGAACGGTAGCTAACCAGAGACTGGCGCTCGGCGTTACAAGCGCTGGCATTCTTATTCCCCCAGTGACGGCTGGAATAGGAAGTGTCCAGTGGTGGGGGTGAAGAAGAGGCAGAAGGGACACTGGGGACAGAGGGGCTGTGAGGAAGGGAGGGCGGGGCAGGGACCTCTCTCCTTAAGGAGGGCAGCTGCTCAGGGCCTGGTGACAAGTGACCTGTCAGGAAAGTGACAAGGAGAGGGACCGGGGTGAGGAGGGGAGGGGGCAAGGGCTAGAGCAAGTGTGGGGGGCAGTGAGGAAGCCATGGGGGACACTGGGGTGGAGGGTGGTGAAATAGACACGTGGCAGTAAAGGGGTTTGAGGCCACCAGGCTGGGAAGCAAGCAGAGGCCACAGCTCAGGCCATAGCCCGCAGCCTTCTGGTCACCCACGGCGGTTTTCTTATCGTCCTATGGCTTCCAGATCTCAGGCTGCGAAGCACCACACCTGCGCCCCTGCACTGGCTTCTTCCTACCTGCTCCCAAACTCTTCACCGAGTAGGCCTGAGTTCAAGGTCATGGGTTGATACCACCCGGAGAACTCCTCCCATAAAGGGGCTAGAGATGCTAAGATCATCTAGTTCCATTGTCAGTGGAAGTTGAGAGTCTTCTGATGGGTGGGGAGACTGAGGCAGAAGTGAGCCCGGGTGTCAACCTGTTCCTAGGCTCCAGCCGGGGAATAGCTCAGGCCATGGAAGGCCCTGGCCACCAAGTTCAGGGGCCTGCACCTCTCAGCGGTGGGAAAAGCCCCGAAGGTACCCCTCCTTCCAACTTCCGACTCTGGACCCCCAAACCCTGGAGCCGGGCTTCTCCTGCCCTATCCGCTTATTCCACCCGGGACTATGGCCACCCGTCTCAACCTCAGCCTCCCCAGGCAATCTCCCGTCTGAAAAATGGGCACGATAAAGAGAAGTAACCCTCCCCGGGTCAGGAGAGTCGCCAGGACCAGAGGACCTCGGAGCGGCCCGGGCGGGCCGCGCAGCAAGCACCAGCCGAGTGTGAGCTCCGTGACCGCGCCCACCCCCCACCCCCCACCCCGGCTCCCGGTGACCCCAACCTCGCGCCCCCAGGGGGCCCCTCCATCCAGCCCGCCCCCCCACCTCCCTCCCCCGCCCTCACGCGCGTCCGCACCCGTGGCCTCCACCATGCCCTCGAGGATGACGACGATCTCGAAGTCGTCCCTCTCCAGGGCGCGGCGCGACGCCTCCCAGAAGGGGCTGGCGGCGTCGATCTCGTGGCTGATGACGAGCGGCGACACGAGGAAGAGGCGGTCGTCGCCCGTGTCGAAGCCCACGCTGAGGTCGGTCTGGTGCAGCGGGATGAACTCGCCCTCGAGCGTCTGGCGCGAGCGGATGAGCTTGGCGCGGATGGAGGCCTCGACGATGTGCGACGAGCGCAGGTCGCCCACGCGGAACATGAGGCACAGGCGGCCGTCGCGCAGCGACACCACGGCGTGCGACGAGAAGACGAGCGTGGCGGCGCGCTTGTTGGGCTGCGAGATCTTGACGAACATGCAGCCCACCATGAAGGCGTTCACCATGGAGCCCAGGATGGCCTGCAGCAGCAGCAGCGCGATGCCCTCGGGGCACTGGTCGGTGATGACGCGGTGCCCGTAGCCGATGGTGGTCTCCGTCTCGATGGAGAACAGGAAGGCGGCCACGAAGCCGTTGAGGTTGTTGACGCACGGCGTCCACGCCGCGTCGCCCAGGTGCTCCAGGTCGCCGCGGCCGTAGGCCACCAGCCACCAGATGGCGCCGAAGAAGAGCCAGGTGAGCGCGTAGGCGAGCACGAAGAAGAGCAGGCTGAGGCGCCACTGCAGGTCGGCCAGCGTGGTGAACAGGTCGGTCAGGTAGCGGCCCGGCTCGCGCACGTTGCCCTGCTGCACGTTGCACCTGCCGTCCTTCTCCACGTAGCGCTGGCGGCCGCGGCGGCGCGGCGGCTCGGGGCCCGGGGAGCGGGTGGCGCCGGCCCGCGCCATGGCGGCGGCCTCAGGGGGCCTGCGGGGGCGGGGGGGGGGGACCGCGCGGCGCCTCAGCCCCGGCTGGCGGCCCCCACCCTCACCCCCACCCCGGGGCGCCCTGCGGCCCGGCCCGCCCCCACCCCACCCCCACTCTGGGGCGCGGCGGGGGGCTGCCTCGCGCCCGGACGCGGCCCGCTGTCCTTCCCTCCCCCCCCCATCCAGGCAAGGCCCCCGGCCCCGAGGACCCCCCACGCGCGACCCAGACTGCGCGAGCCCCCTGCCCCCCTCCCCACCCAGTCCTGTCCTGCCGAGTTCACCTCACCGCCCCCCCTCCACCCGGCCCGCAGCCCTCCTCCTTGGCCTCCCCCCCGCCCCGCGCCCCGCCCTCGCCCCGCCCCCTCCCGCATCTGCCTGCTCCCCACCCGCTGCCGGAGAAGATGTGCAAGGGGCGCACGGTCAGGGCAGCAACTCCGGGGGCGGGGGCGGAATGTTCCCGCTCTCAGTCCCGCCAGAGGACTGGGCCCGCTTGTCGCTGATGGGTGTCAACCCCTGTCCCCGGGGTTCTTTCCACTGTGGGGACCGCCTGAAAAGGGGCAGGAGGGCTGCCGGGTGTGAGATCAGCACGGACCGCCGGGGTAGAGGAAGCACAAAGTTCGTCAGGAGCCAAGCTCGCATCGCCCTCCGGTCCCCGGTCCCCAGGAGCCCCGTGCGGTCTCCGCAAGTGAAGCACCGAGCACCCACATTTACCTCCCCACTCCCTCCAGGTCTGCGGCGGCAGCCTCCCACCGACGACCACACGGCCCAGGGCTCGCATTCCAAGGGAAGCCCACCTGATTTTGCGGCAGACTCTTCCCCCCAGGAGCAATCCGAGCTGCAGAGCGCTGAGAGAGGCCCAGAGCCCCTCCCCAGGCCCCAGGCCCCCTACCAGGAAAGCTTTAGAAGGATTTGGTCCTCTTCAACCTTCCCTTCTTCCTGGGAATCGTTCTCTCCGCCCACTCCGGGGAAACCTGGGTTGGCTGGGAGGGGGGTGGGGGGGCTGGACGGGAGGGAGGTGACAGGGATCACAGATGGCCTGGATGTGTGACCAGGTCCTGGGGAGAGACTGCTCGGATATGCAGCTCCAAACCCAGCGCCCCCGAATTTAAGTTCTGGAATGAGGTGCTTTGCAGCCAGACCTTTGGAGGCTGCGTGTGTGTGTTGGAATAGAGGGCAGGAGGAAAAATAAAAAAAGATGGCTTGGAACTTAGGGACCCCCCCCCCACATTGATTTTCCAAGAGGAGTCAGGGGACACAGGGTCCCATGCAGATTAGCGGCTTCCCCTCCCCCAACAATGGATTTCCCTTTCCCTTCTTGAAGCCAGGGACGTCCTCTAGAAGTTCTCTCTAAGCACCAACTGGCTCAGGGACCCCAAGTCATGCAAAAAAAGTGCCTGGTTCCCACTTCTCCCAGAATCAGCCCCAAGGAAGCCTCCAGATGTTCTCTCGGGGTCTGAGGTCATCAGAGCCCCAATCTGCCTCCTTAGACAGATCTCTCTGCCCAGGGGTGGGAAGGAACCCCGGAGTCCGATCACCCCCAGAACTCCCCAGAACACCCCCAGAACTTGCTCTCCACTGCCCCAGGGATCTAGGTGAGCCTTACTTTGTGTCCCCTCTCCTGTCTTCCTGAGTGGAGACTGCATATTTCTCAATGGGGAAGTAAAGGTGTGAAACAGACTTGATTTCTGCGCCTTCCCTCCTGTTCCTCCAGCTTGCTCCTTATTTCTTGTGCGTGCTGTGACCCCTTTCCAGAAGACCCCGCTGCCACATTTTCCTGGATCTCCCTTTCTCCCCCTGGGGAGTGCTCGCCAGCAAGAGGGTTTGTTTTTTGGAAGGGGCTTCTGGTGAAAACTCCCTCAGGAACAAGCTGTTCCCAAGCCCCCACTTGCCTTGGATTTAGGGGCCCAAACCCAAGTCCCCCGCAACTCAACTCACAGTGCGTGGAGAGGAGAGTAGCCGGCAGCAGAGACCCCTGGGGGGTAGCGTCCATGCCCCTGACACCACCCCTTCCCCGGCCCCCTTGGAGGGTGGGAGCCACAGACACCGCTGTTTCTCCTAAATGTAGCGGCAGCTCCGACTAGGACTTGCTATCTGTGTCATCCCCACTTCCCAGGCTCCCCTGCTCCTCTCCTGTTTCCACAGCAACCAGTCTGGCGACAGCTCCAGAGCATCCCCCTCCCCTCCCTGGTCCTGGGTACCACTAGAGGCTGAGCCACACACCATGGCTATTTTTAGCCCAAGTCCCTCCTCCTGGACAACTCAGAGCTCGCCTCCTCACCCCCTCAGGAAAAAAAAAAATGAGGAAAAAGCTGGCACGCTCTTTCCTAAGAAGCTTCTTGCTCTGGGAAAATACGGGCCCTGGTGTGTTTGGGAATAACGTGTTTGATCTCCTGGGGATTCAAGCTCTCTGCCCCCGAGAGCTGGCATCTCATCACCTCCAGCAGGGTGTCTGGGTGCAGGTGTGACTCTCAGGCAGGCACCATCAGGTCCCCTACTTTGGGAGAGACCATCCTGGTCCAGGAGGAGATAGCTAGACAGCAAAGAGATCCACCCAAGGAAGGGAGTTAGGGTCAGGGGTTCTAATCTTTGTCACTAGTTTATGATGCGACCCAAGGAGTCGCTTCCTCCTTTGAACCACCGGTGATCCATTTCTCACAGGATGTGGACACAGGCAAACATCCCCTTTCAACCTGCTTCACAGGGTGTGCAGATCAAATGAGGCAACACAAATAGAAGGGCTTTAAAGTGTATTTTGTTACTAGCGAAAAGTCTGGAAACAACCCACACGTTCAACAGAGAGAAAAGCCCAGGTTAGGGCTTAAACCTATTCATCCAACAAATTTCTGCGGAGCCCAAGTGCTGGGCAAAGTGGGGGTGGTTACAGAAATGACTTGGTCTCTGCCCACGCGGAGCCCGTGGTCCAGTGGGGGAGGAAGACAGGCAGACACAAAATGCTAATATCACTACTGATAAGTCCTTCAGCACCAGCTGTGAGCCGGACACGCACCTCATTTAACAACCCTGGGAGGTACCCTATGAGATGGGTGTGTTTTTCTCCATGTATGGGCGAGACGCTAAACCTGAGAAAGAGGAAGAGAGTTGCCAAATGTCGCGGAGGCAGAGATGGTACCCAAAGTCATCCATGTGAGTCCCCGCCTCACTGCATGCTCTGCACAAAGCCGCACTAACCTCGGGAATGTAAGAGCAGACGCAGAGAAACATAACAAGTTACCGTTTTCGTAAGTGTAAACTTGCATGTAGGCACGCTCTCGCATGAAAAAGCAGAATGTAAAAATATTCGTCTACGTTGGTCATAACTATAGAAATAGCTTGCAGGCATGCAGATAAAAATCAGAACAAAATTTGGGGAAATAAAAGTATTTTGATGTTCATTTTCCCCAAGGAAGTAATTAAAAGCAAAGAGAGGCATACAAACGCCAGGTGTTATTATTAGTACTGTTTTATCTGAGATATGTATCTATTCTTCTTTAGATGCTTTTGAGTTTGAGTAAGAAGATACGAGCCAGAGAAGCAGGAAGATGTAGAAATGGACACCGGAGTGCAGAAGTTGCTGGAATGACCTGGGAAGGTGGAACAGGTGGTACTGAGTAATACAATCTCGAGAGGCAGTGCCCTGGGTTCAAGTCCCAGCTCTGTCCACTGCTAGCTGGGTGACTTTGAGCAAGTTACTTAACCTCTCTGAACGGTTTCTTCACCGAAGAAGTGAGAATAACTGTATTATCCATCTCTTGGGGGGTTGTCGTGAGCCTTACACGAGGCAGTGCCTGGCACCTTGTAAGTATTCCGCGAATGCTGGCTACATCTTTCTTCTCCTTCTTGTCACCCTCATCCCCGGCATCTCCTGAAATCCCCACCTATCCTGTGCTGCCTTCCTCTGTCTGGCACCACCCAGCGAGACCTGCAGGGGGCACTGCTGGTCCGGTGCCCTCCTTTCCCCAGCCCTCTTGCCCACGTTTCTTGTTCCAAGTGGAAATACTGAGTTTTTCAGCCCGAGATTGGCATCAGGCGGGCTGTTAAAGCCCCAGTCCCCATCCCCGTCTCCTGGGCCTGGCCCTGTCACCTGAGCCTTGGGCCTGCTAGCCTGCCCTTCTCTGTCTTGCCAAGCAGCTGCTCACGGAGGTTCTGCTGTGCCAGGAGCTCAGAGAAACGAAACCGGACCCCTGGGCAAGAGCGCATTTGCATAGAACTGGTCCCATTTCCTGAAGGGAGGGGGGGTGTCACAGGGCTGGCAGGCCCATGGGGGGGGTGCCAGCCAGCCCCCTGCCTCAGTCCAGGTGACCACCACCCTGCCCCTGATATACTCCCCACCCCCCACCGCAGGTCCTGGACTTCACCTGGCCTCTAACTTCAATATCTTGTTTATCATTGAGCTTGAGCCGAGGGAGGGAGTAAAGTTTTCTTAAGTTCCAGGGCACAGAAAAATAGGCAAGATCCTAGCTTTCAGGTATTCCGACAGAGAGAGCAACTTTACAGGGAATCAGTAAAACATGTCAGTACAGTGGTGACGGTGGGAGATTGGGTTTGGAACTTGAGAATGTTGAGGGCGGGCTGGGACCACGTAGGTGGTCCATAAAGAACCTTGTTAGAAGGTAGAAAAAGGAGTCTGCTTTGGGCAGGTGTGTTCCTTATGGCATGTAGCTTGGAGAGCAGGTGGTCCTTTGGGGCAAAAATAAAAATAAAAAGGGGACTCTTTCTTGTAGATACAGCTCTGAGCCAGGGTGCAAGGACTGGCAAGCTGAATGCAGTTCAGTTCTCAGCTTGCCCCTTCAGTGAGTGCCTTTGTGCAGTCCACAGCCTGCACAGCTGTATGTGGGAGCCCTGGGACCGACCAATCTGGGAAGGTTTCCTTGAACGAGATCATGAGACCTTCTTTGGGTAAAATCTTGGAGGCGGGAGAGGAAGTATGATGGGAAAACAGGAGATGGTTGAGGATATGAATTTAATGGAACAGAGAGGCCAATCTGGCAGAAACTATAACAATTTTTATAAATTCAAGGGAGCGGGGGCCCAAGAAAACTCAGAGCAGAGGGAGAATACGGTTGAAGCAGAGGGTGCAGATGGAGGTCAGGGCGAACGGGGGAGGAGCAGAGCACAGCACCAGGACAGGTGGGACCCCACTGGGCACCTGAGGCTGAGGCACTTGCTGGCCTTCTGGCTCTTTCCTGCACATCCAGAGGATCAGAGCCTTCTCGTAAACAGGTGTATCTTACTTGACAGGATTGGGTGCAGGTTGGCCAGGATTTAAAAGCCCTGGTCCAAAATTTGTCCTTACTTACCTGGTCCAAAATTGTCTGAAATGGATCCCAAGAGAATAGACAGCGCTAAGACTAGGCATCCCAGCTCCTGGCTCTTGGTTGTTTCTTTATTCTCTGTAGTCCTCCCACCACCACCACAGTGGATTGGGGGCTAATGTGATTTTTATCCACGGGACCCAACTGGAAAGCTACCAGAGGAACCACCTAGTTAAGGAAAGTCTGGGAATGATCCTTTAGTAATGGAATTAAGCATCCCCTAACTTCCCTCTCATAAATGTGGGTTTGTGTAAATTGCATCTCCTGAAGGGAAAGGGTATGTATACCTAAACAATAATCCTTTAGTGCCTGGGGCGATGTAGCGCAGTCCCTCTGTCTTGTGGTTCTCCATGGTCTGAATCATCCAGCTACGAGGCGCCCACTACCAATGGAAACCGCTGAGCTGCAATGTTGCTTAGAGCCCTGTAGTGTGCAAGGCAACCGTCTCTACTCTTTCCAGAACAATGTCAAAGAAGAGATGAGGCTGAAGTTGGAAGGAATGAATCTGAAAGGAGCAATCGAGAAGAAGAAAGACAGTTTGCCAAACTGAGAGAAGAGGGGAGGTCTTCAGAGAAAGACGGCGTCCCTAACTGCCACTTAGGGGTGGTCCAGAAGGAGCCCTCACCTCACAGGGAAGGGATAGGTCCCAAGAGAAGGTGGTGGGCACAGATGTCACAAGCGTGGCCAATTTTTCATACTGGCCTGTGCGCATGTTGACAATTAAGGTTACATTTAACCGATGCAAATTCACTCCAGTGAGACGAGCTTTGGAGTCAAACACATGTGGATGCAGGTTCCGAAGCTAACCCCTTCTAGCTATGGTACCACAGGCCAGCCACTTAACCCCTCAGAGCCTCGGTTTCCCCATCTCAAATGATCTATGTATCTTCTATCATAAACACAATACCAATTTCCTATGTCTTTCATCCTTGCTTCCTTATTGGGCTACTGGAAACTATTCTTGGACTTTTTTTTTTTTTTTTTTTAAATATAAGCTCTACACCCAGTGTGGGGCTTGAACTCACAGCCTAGAGAATCAAGAGTTGCCTGCTCTACCGACTGAGCCAGCCAGGAGCCCTTAGTACTTCTTTTTTGTAAAAAGAGTTACAAATTGAGAACCGTCGTTTGACAATACATACAAAGGAATGTACACGATGGATATGTGTATATCTGCTGTAAACCACGACTTAAGAACAAAAACTTCATTTAAGTCACTCTTTTAAAATTAGAAAACTACAGTTCCATTTGAGCTGTCTGTACTTTTCCACAGTCTTGCACCCTTGATGTTCTAGAGCTTCTAAGCTCTTTCTAATTGTCCGGTCCCGCCCCTGATTTTTAGCAAAGGGCTCTTCTGCTCTTCAGGAAAGAAAGGTACAGGCCATTTGGAAGGAACTTCTCCAGAGACCCCTCCTTCACCGCGAGGTATCTCTTCTGCTACTGCCCTTGGCTCTTCCCTCCCTGTCTTCCACGAGTCTAAGTGTCGAGCTGAGGAGCTTGGCCTGGGCCCAGGAAGCAAAGGGCACCCAGTTTGGGGGTTGATAGGAGGGTGCAGGGACAGACATGATGAAAACAGTTTGCCTCTTCCTCTGAGAATGGGGAGAAGGGTGAAGGGTGTGTCCAGGTCCTGGGCTGTTTGTGATCCTACCTGATCCTGGCTATGGCCATGAAATGAAAAGGGACATCCTAGAGAAATATAACAAAGAGAGACCTGGCAGGATTTGGTGACTTAACTGACATGTCAATGGGTGGTACAGAGTTCAGATCACTTTTAGTTTTTAAATCTGATTGATCAGGAGGGGCATCTGGGTGGCTCAGTCGGTTAAGCATCCAACTCTTGATTTCGACTCAAGTCATGATCTCACGGTTTGTATGTTCGAGCCCCATGTTGGGCTCTGCGCTGACAACACAGAGGCTGCTTGGGATTCTCTCTTTCTCTTTCTCTTTCTCTTTCTCTTTCTCCGCCCCTTCCCTGCTCATGCTCTTCACCACCCCCTCTAAAAATAAACAAACTTAAAAAAAAAAAAAACCTGATTGAGCAGGAGAAACACAGAAATAAAGAAGTCACGAGGACTGCCAGCCCAGAGGAGGAAGAAGATAAGTTCGGCTTGGGGCCTGTCCGGTTGGCGTGGAAATCCCCAACCAGCAGCTGGAACTGAGATGCTCGCAGGAAAGCCCAAGGCTGAACACAGAGATCTGAGTGTGGCTTGGGAGACGAGAGCAAGAGCGATGTCAGTGACGAAGGCCCCACATCAGACGCAGAAAGAGGACAAGGACACAAGAGAACACAGCACCGAACCTTCGGTGTTGGAGGGGCCGCAGCTGTGGGTTTGGGCGTGCAGGGCCAGGGGAGGCGGACGAGGCTGGAATGGCACCAGATCGCAGGGGGCTTTCTGTTCCAGCGCAAGGCATTTGGATTTTACTTCTAGCCGACGGGCAGCCACTGAAGGCTTTTAAATTGGGAAAGGGGCACAGTCAAGCTTGTGTTTCAGAGAGATGGTACATTATTGGTGTTTATTCTTAAACACAGAAAGTCGTGGTTCAAAGGATTGTTCGAGTGATGGAAACTGGAGGTGGGAGGCTAGTGAGAAGGCAGCTGCAGAAGTCCTGGTGGAGAGGGGCGGGGTCCTGGAGCACAGCTGAAGGATGAGGGATGCCGCAGAGAGGAGGGGGCAGGCCTGCGGAGCCTGATAAAGTGCGTGCTCTGGTTAGCTCAGACAGAGTGAGAAAGGGAAAAGCATGAACACCGGCATTGCAATCTGCCCCCACAGTGTCCCCTTCATCCAAACCATCTTGCTCACCTCCAGATTTGTCTTCCTAAAATTCTGCCACGGCTCTGTCAGCCCTTGGCTCAAGAGCCTCCAGGGCCCTCCTTTGCCTCCAGACACCCAGAGCCGACCACCAGCTGGCATAGTCCTCTCTTTGCTCCAGAACTTTCTCTGACACAAACACCACGCCTGTGGTGCCTGGCCTGCAACCCACCGCCCTCCGCTGGGGGTGGGGTGGGGTGAGCAAGTTCAAATGTACCTTTACCCAGCCTATGGCTTTTAGGGGTGGAACTAAACTAAAACATTTAAAGTTTCTCTGTTTTGTTTTCACTTCAAGGTATATATCAACTCAATATGATAATGCTGGTTACTGATTGATAGGTAAATATCTAAATATTTATGATGAACAAAATTGGGGAGCTAATTCTTTCCTTAATAAATGCCACGGGTGGGAGCCTGTGGTAAGACCCCCTGGAAATACGGATTCAGGTACTGAAAGCAGTCCTTGGTGACGGAAAGGTTGAGAACCCCACCCGCTCTCTGTCTAGTCCAGGGGGCCCAGGGTGCTGCGGTTTCCCAAGCAGACTTGTAGGTCTATGTGTCCCGGGGACTTGGTGACTGCCGTTCCTTCTGCCTCAGATGCCCTCCCCATCGTCTCCCAGGACCTGACTCCTCTGCACTCTTTAGGGCCCTTATCAGATGCCCCACAACTGCCAGGACCCTCTAACTAGAGTGACCTGGCCGGGTCTGCGGCCTCCAGCGCCTGGCACCTGCGCAGCGCGCCCCGCCCCATCGCCGCTCTGGGACCCAGCCCGCTCCTGGCGGGGAGGCTGGTCCGCGCACTTGGCGCCCGGAACCTCAAGCAGCACTTAGGGCACGGTGACCGGCAGGGACACAGTGCGGAGGGACAGAGCGCCGGAGCCCAGCCCCGGCCGCCCCTTAGCGCTGCGCGCAGGGCCACCGCGCCGTCCGGGTTCATTTCCAGCTCATTGACTCGGCCCGGCCCGCCCCCCGCGCCCGCTCCCCGCCGCTGACACCGCCGCCGCCGCCTCTCCCCTGTCACTGTGCCAACGCAGCCCCTATCGCTTCGCCCATCGTCTCGCGTCCCTTCTTCCTCCCGGAGTCTGTCTGGGTCCCGCTCCTCGGGCGCTGCGCTCTGCGCGGCTCCTGCATCTGTCTGGGTCTCCGCTTCCTTGCCCCCTGCGCCCCGCCCCCGCCGCGGCCCCTCCAATCCCGGCGGCTCGGGCCTGGCGCTCCACGTCCCCATTGGCTCGCCCGCGGCCCCCCGCCCCCGCCCGCCGGCCCCCGCCGGGCCCCTCCATTCACACCAAGTTTGGCTCCGGCGCTGCGGAGGGAGGGGGCGGCCCGGCCCGGCCCAGCTCTGCCCCCGGCCGGCCCGACCCCGGCCCCGGCCCCCGGACCAGCCCTTATCTGATCCCAGCTCCGGGTTTAAGAGTCCCGGCTCTGCCCGTCGCCCGGCTCGGTTCCTCATTCCTGCCCGCCCCGTCCGTCCGTCTGTCCGTCCCGCTGCCCGTCCGAGGGGCCACTCCACCCCGGACCCAAGGTAAGACCTCTGACGGAGGACAGCTGCCGCCCCCGCCGGCCCTGTCCACCTCACTCCCAAAGATATGCGGAACCCTGGCCCTTCGGTCCCCACCCTGTGTGGCCTCAGCGGTACTGTCCTGTTCCCCAGCTTCCCGCCTTGGGCGACCCCAAACAGACCCTCCTGGGAAAGGCTCCCCAGGGAAGAAACTTTACCCGAGCTAGTCACCCCCAGCCCAGTAGGCTAAAGAAGGGGCCTTCCTGATGCCCCTTCCCACCAGGCGGGCCGGGCAGGGGCATCACAGCCCTCTCAAGGGACACAGCGACCGCCGCGTACAGGTAACCATGCCTGCCCCACTCAGACTCCAGACAGCGCCCCCTCTTCCCAAGACCATCAGGTTCCCCCACTCCCGCGCCAGCCCGCTCCCCCTCCCCACACAGTGACACCCACATAGTGACACCCATTGGTCACGAGTTCACACATGGGAACAGAGACACAAGCCGCTTGGATTAGGAAGCGGTGGGAGCCTGGTGTGTCTGGGACCCTGCCCACCCGGCCTCTTCCCTCCACTCCCACTTGCCCCGCGTGTCAAGCCCTCCCTCCCCGTCTCTTGCCCATTCCCCAGGTAGGTCACACTCGGATCCCTGGGAAGAAAGCAGACCCCTCCTGCTGCAGTTAGAAGGGCAGACCGGGTTCTGACACACTCACGCTCCAGACGGCGATGCCCTTTCCCCATCCCAGCCTTGTCCCCACCAGGAAGTGACCAAGGGCAGTGGCGTGAGGAAAGAGATGATGGTCTGAGCTTCCTGATTTGGGGCAGGACAGCTGAGCCCCTGGGATGGGTAGAAGGACCAGATGTGGGACGAAGTGGGGGGAGGGCCTCTGGTTGCTTGAGATTTCACTCGCGCTTCCCGAAGCACCTCAGAGTGCGGCGGGGGTGGAGGTGGAGGGCACAGAGGAGGCCAAGGCTCGGAGTGTGAATTTGTTGCTCATCAGTACAAATCCTGGCTAGAGGTTTTGGGCCAGTCTGCCTAGGCCGTGGTGTCTGATGTTTTCCCCCACCGGGGCTGCTTTTGGGAGTTCCAGCAGGGAGGAAGGAGACGATGGGGGGATTTGGGGCCCCAGGGTGAGGAGGGTCTCCCGTGTAGGGGTGCTCAGCGGGGCCTGGGGGGTACCAAGGTCGTCCTGAGGACGGGCCAGCAGCCACCACGGAGTTCTGTTTGGCTCCATCTCCAGACCCTCTCCCTAATCTCTACGAGTTTCTGAACACGTTCCTGGCACAATGCTGGGTACCATCCTGTGCTGAGGGTAGTGCGTTCGAATTCCTCAGAGTGCGGCCTGGTTACGGGGGACCCAGTGTAGAAGGAGGCAGGTGTTCTGGCTCCCAGCTAGTTCTTCAGGGAGCAGGAAATGAGGGAGGGGGAGGGACGGCGTCACGCCAGGGAGAGGGGCCAGGGCTGTTCTGTGGAGGCGATGGGCATGGCCCAGGCAGTGCCAACTCCCTTTTCCCCGCCCCTCTGTCCTTTGGTGGTGGTGGCGAGGGAGGGAGAGAGGGGGTGTTGGGGGGTGATCTGGGCCAGTCCAGCCTCCCAAAGCCCTTGCCAGCCTGGGTCCTGAAAGGAGCTGCTGTTTTCCGAGCCGTCCCCCACCCCCCACCCCCCAGCCGGAGCCCGGGCAGCCAACTTGTCTCAGTGGGTATCAAATGGCAATGACTCCACGGGATGGAGGGGTGGGGGTGGGCAGAGTTGTGGGCCCATTCGTTCTGTGGTTCTAATGCAGAATCCCACTGCAGGCCCCCTACGCTGAGGGGGAAAAAATTTATCTTCCCAACATCGGCCTCATATGCAGCCTCGTGTTTGTATGGGAGGCTTAGCTGTCTGGCCACTGGCACCCCCACCTCTTCCCGTTCCCCTACCTGCGCCTCCACACGTGAGCTCATTTATAGCTCCAGCTCGTTTGGCTTGAAGGGAAGGGCCTATAGAAGACCCGGGGACCCCCCCCTTCCCTTGTCCTCCCTAGGGACACTCAGATCTGGGTGGGCTCAGATGAAACCCTCTGCATCATTTTGGGATCCATGGGATGAGACGTTTAGGGTTCTCAGGGGGTGAGTCATACAGAAAGACCCACTTCCTCCAGGGAGAACAGGCTTGTTGGGCCTCCCGACAAGATACTCAGCCTCTGCACGCGAGGTGGAAGGAAGATGGGCCGAGCCCCCTGGCCTCTCTGGGGAGAGAAAGAGACATCGGGCCCCGGAGCCCCCAGCTTTCCTGCCAAGGGTTATGTAGGACGGAAGGGAAAAAAACTTCCACTCTCCCTCCCCTTCCCGGCCTAGATTCACCTCTTGCCTGACTAGTCAGTGCCACCGTCCAGGCTGAGGCCAAGCTGTCCAGGACAGTGGTGAGGCCCCGGAAGGGGCAGGGAGGCCGTTGGGATGGAACTGCAGAAAGACAGAGGGCGGGCAGGTCTGGGCTCCAAGTGTTTCAGTGCCCGGTCAAGGGTGGCTTCCAGCTGGGCAGCTCACGGAAGCTGGGCTCCGGGAGTTTACCCCATCGCCAGGTTCCCCCCCCCCCCCCCACCGCCCCACAGGCTGAGTTCAGCGCTTCTCTTCCCTCACTCCAGTTTCTCATACATGATGCTGCCATTCTGCGCAGATAAGGTGGCCCCTCTCCGTCCCCTCCCCCGCCAGAACCTTGAAAGGGCAAAGAGAAAGGAATTGTGGGAAAACCTCTCCGTGGGTGTCCGCCAGCCCCGGGTTGGATTTGAGGCGGTGGGGAGAAGGGAGGGGCTGGCTCTGGAATGTGGGAAGAAGTGGGAGCTGGCTTGTGCGGGGCCTGGAGAAGCAGGGCTGAGAGGTGGGCCTGAGCACTTCCGGCCTCTTAGGACATGGCATCCAAGTCCACGGCCATTGTGTTATTCTTGCAGGGGGCAGAAGGGCCTGGAAAGGGTTGGGGCTGCAGCTGGAAGGACTTAGGTTCGACTTCAGGAAGCATGTCCCATAAAAAGGAAAGAAATCTGAGATGGAATTTGGGAAAGAATGGGAGACGGCCTTCTGGAATAAGAAAACACACCCCTAGGCCCCCAAGCCCATCGTTAAGGCTTCTGAGGGGAGCTGGGAGGCTCGGTCAGCACAGGGTTGGAAGCCGTTGGGGGGCCTCTCCCTGGTGGCCTGGCCACTCCGCCGCGTGGTCCCAGGGATTCTTCCCACTCGGGCACCACCTGGGAGGCTGCGGGTGGAGTGGTTAAGAGCAGGGCCTTGGAGTCAGACTCCCTGGGTTCAAATCCTGATTCCACCACTCGGCAACTACCAACTACGCGTGTCTCCTCAGCCTTATGATGGCGCCAGTGATAGCTGGGGATGGAGACTCAACGTTTGTGGAGGGCTTGCTGTGGCGCTGAGCACAGTGCGTTTGCTGCTGTGGTGTTCCGGCCCTCTGACCCCACCCTGCCTCTCTCTGCTCCCGGGCCTTACCGCAGCCCTTCCCCCGTTCTGCAGAGGCGAGTCCAGGGCTCTGTCCATCCACCCTTCCAGAGTTCCGGAGGCTGAGAGTCATCACCTACACATGCAGGCGAGCCACCTGCCTTCATCCCCAAAGATGGGTCCCCCGTGGGCCAGGTCTCCTCTCCCATAGCTTCCTTCCCTGTTTCTACCAGGCAGAGGAGTCTTCAGCTGAGGTCCAAGAAGTGTGAACTGCGCCCTTGAGCTTCCCTAAAATGGTCTGTTTGCCCACTCGGGGCAACTTCTCCCCGTCAGCCCGCTGCCCCACATCTCAGCCATGCCCCGTGGGCTTGCCTGACCCTCTGATGCCTGGTTTACGTGCGCGCCCTTTTCTCTGTCCCCCGATCAGCCTGAGTGTCCGCAGCAGCCTCCCTAAAGGCCTCCCTGACTCCAGCCTTTCTCTCTCCTTGGTTCCCTCCCTCTTCTTCACCCTCCCACTGGGACTGTCACCACAAAGCACCTGTTTTGTCTTGTCCCTTTCCTACCCAGACATCCCTGTTGGTTTTCAGATGAAAACTCCCAATCACAGTCTTCAAGGTGCTTTATAAAAGTCTTTCCTCAGGGCGCCTGGGTGGCTCAGTGTGTTAAGCGTCCGACTTCGGCTCAGGTCATGATCTCACGGTTCATGGGTTCAAGCCCTGCATGGAGCTCTGGGCTGACAGCTCAGAGCCTGGACCTGCTTCAGATTCTGTGTCTCCTTCTCTCTCCCATCCCCTACTCGCTCTCTGTCTCTGTCTCTCAAAATAAAAAAAATTAAGACATAAAAAAATAATGGGGTGCTCCCCTCCAGCACCCATCTCTTGGGACTGCTGTCTTCAGACTTTGTCCCCGGGGTGGAGACGCGTCCACCGGCAATCCTTGGACCTCTCTTCTTCTCTCTCTCTGGGCCCTCACAGGGCCATTCTCATCCCAAGGCCGACGCTTCCTGCACGGTGCAGTCCTCATCTCCCCATTGGCTCAGCCATCTTGTACCCCCTTCTCCTCAGCAGTCTGCATGGTTTGTCCCTTGTGTCTGTGACTGGGTCCGGATGTCCAATGCAATGGACTGGCAGTGTTGCAGGGAACATGCTGTCTCCTTCATTACGTGGGGGCTCCTCTGGGATGGGGCCAAGCCCTTGCAGGTTTTGGACCCCCTGAAGCAAAGGCATCTCTTCCCTTCCTGAGACCCCTCAGCTCCTAGGAACACACTGCCCTCTGATGAGCTGGACTCTAGGTAGGAAACCTTTCGGGCAGCCAGTTCTGGGGGAGGACACTGACTCTGGAGGCTTCTGAGTGTCTGGGAGTGGGGGTGTGTGGAAAACCCTGTTATTGAACTCTCTGGGGAACTTGAAGAGAAGCCCCTCTCCTGCCCATGGCCCCACCCTGTGGAGGTGGCTTCACCCTACGATTACAAGCAGCAGACCCTGGAATCCCCAGTTTCCAGCTCTTTAAGCGCTGTTGGCCCAAACACTAAAACTCGCGTGGGGCTCCGTGGAGCCTTCCTCCCCTGGCCAGGGAGGTCTGCTCCCACCCGGTGCCGGCCTCG